CACTTTGGGTATTTTTGTTTTTGTTTTGTTTTCTTTTTTAATTCTTCTACTTACAAAGTTAGGTGTTTATTTGAGCTTGTTCTTGCTTTGGAAATAGGCCTAAATCTATGAATTTCCCTCTTAGGATTGCTTCCCCAGTGTCCCACAGATTGTAGATTGTTGTGTTCTCTTTTTCATTTGTTTCGAGGTATCTTTTGATTTTTTTTCTTTACCTCATTGTTGATCTATTCATTGTTTAATTACATGTTATTGAGCTTATAGGTCTCTGCATGTTTTTCAGCATTGTTCTTGTGACTGATGTCTGGTTTCATAGCATTGTAGCCAGGGAAGATGCTTGATGTGGTTTCAGTCTTCTAAATTTATTGAGACTTGTTTTGTGTCCTAACATGTGATCTATCCTAGAAAATGTTCCACGTGCTCTTGAAGGAATGTATGTATATTCTGAAGCTTTGGAGTGAAAAGCTCTGAAGATATTAATTAAATCCCTTCAATTTAGTGTGACCTTTAAGGCTGCTGTCTCCCTGTTGATTTTCTGTCTGGAAGATGTACCCAGTAAGTCAATGGGGTGCTAAAATCCCTGACTGTACTGTATTTCTGTCAGTTTCTCCCTTTATGTCCATCAAGATTTGCTTTACATATCGAGGTGCTCCTGTGCTGGGTGTATAAATGTTTACGAGGGTTGTATCCTCTTGTTGGATTGTCCCCTTTATCATTATGTTGTGTCCTGCTTTGTTTCTTCCCATCGCCTTGGTTTTCAAGTCTGTTTTGTTGGATATAAGTATTGCCACCCCAGCTTTTTTTCCCCTTCCATTTTCATGAAATATTTGTTTCCATCTCTTTATTTTTAGTCCGTGTGTCTGTCTTTTGATGTGAGGTGAGTCTGTTGGAGGCAGCCCATATGTGGGTCTTGTTTACTTATCCATTTAGCTACCCTACGTCTTTTGGTTAGAGAATTAAAGCCACTTATATTTAAAGTGATTATTGATAGGTATGTATTTAGTGCCATTTTATTATTAGATGATTTTCCTCTTTTTTCTTTCTTTTTTTCTTCTTAAATCAAGCCTTTTAACATTTGTTGTAGTACTGGTTTGGTGTTAACAAACACCTTTAGCTTTTTCTTGTCTGGGAAGCTCCTTATTCCTCCTTCAATTTTAAATAATAGCATTGGTGGGTAAAGTAACCCTGTTTGTGAGTCCTTGAATATTTCATGCCCCTCCCTTCTGGCCTGAAGTGTTTCTGTTAATAAATCAGATGACAATTTAATTGGTGCTCCATTGTAGGTAATTTACCAGCTTTTCTCTTTCAGCTTTTAGTATTCTCTCATTGTCTTTAAGCCTTGCCATTTTAATTATGATGTGTCTCAGTGTGGGCCTCTTTGGGTCCAACTTGTTTGGGACTTTCTAAGCTTCCTAGATTTGTGTGTGTTTTTCCCTCACCAGATTAGGAAAGTTTTCTTCAAATAGATTCTCCATCCCTTGTTCACTCTCTTCTCCTTTTGGTGTTTCCATAATGCAGATATTGTTATGCTTCATGTTGTCAAAAATGTCTCTTAAGCTCTCCTCATTACTGAAATTCTTTTTCTTTCTGCTGCTCTTTTGGAGTTTTTTCCTACCTTCTCTTTCAAATTGCTGATTTGGTCCTTTGCTCCATCTAACCTACCATTTATTCCTTCCAGGTTATTATTTATTGCAGAGATTACATTATTTATTTGTGATAGGTCCTTTTTTTATGGTTCCGTGATGTTGAGTATGCTTATAATCATTACTTTAAGCTGATGAATCGTTTGCCTCTATTTCATCTAGTTCTCCTGTGGGTTAATTCTCTTATTCTTTCACTTGGGGTCTGTTTCTCTGTTTCCCATTTTGGCTGCTTCTCTGTTTCTAGGTATTATGTACATCTGCAAAGACTCTGGTGGAGACCTTTGTCAAATGCAGCTTGTGACTGGCCCTGGGCCACCTGTTTGGAGCTATCAATGATCCACAGCATGTAGCTCCCTCTGCTGGGCCTTTTTGTGTGCAGAAACAACAAGACTGCACACTAAGGCCAGTTTTTACCACCAGTGGGCCAGTAGAGGTTCAGCTAAACTCTCAGAGCTCTTAGAGATCCACCTTAGTTGTTAAACTTAATCAATGACATAGCCTAAAGCTGTAATCAGCAGCCTGGCTTAAGCTACGTAGGGTGGGGCAGTGTAATTCCTGTGGGCAGCACTATTACTTCCCCTCAGGCTGATGCCACTTATGTGCCTGAGAAAGACAGCCTCTGCAGTATGGGGAATGGCAAGACAGCCTCTGCAGTACGGGGAATGGCAAGACAGCCTCTGCAGTATGGGGAATGGCAAGACAGCCTCTGCAGTATGGGGAATGGCAAGACAGCCTCCACAGTATGAAGGAATCCTGGAGGCTGTCCCTTCAGTTCTCCCCCCAGAGCCATGAGTCCCAGACTCTCCCACATGTCTCTAGTCCACTCAGCTCTCCCTCTGCTGGAGCTGACAGTAAGTGGCTGCAAACAAAATTTTGTGCGTTGGCCATTTAAGAGGCTCTCTGTATCTTCAACCATCTTTCCCTGGCAAACAGAATCCCTGCTGCTTTTTACAACTGGATGTTATCTGGGTTCCTTTCCTGGCTTGATGCTGTAGGCTAGAGAGACCAGCTTGGTGTCTCGACCCCACACTTCTCAGGGAGAACCCTTTGGCCACTGAAATATCCCTCTGAAACTTCAGCTCCCACCCATGGGAGCCCAGCCAGCCATCTCTCACCTCCATACTCCCTACCAGTCATGTTGCGGTGAAGTGCTTTTTTCTGTCTGTCCATGGTTATAAGGCTTCTCATCCAGTGTTCATTTGGATATTCAGGATGATTTCCCTACGCTTTAGTCGTAATTCCAGATTGGTTCTGGGAGGAGGTTAGTGTAGCTTCCACCTACTCCTCCACCATCCGAGGTCTCACCCTGGAATTTAATTTGGCATATCACATGAGGTAAACTTTACTTTTCTCCCAAATGATGAGCCAGTTATACCAGCCCCATTTATTAAATAATAGATTTTTTCCCTATTAATCTGAGAAGTCACCTTTCTATTGATTATATACTTAAATATGTCTCTGAACTTTCCATTCTGTTCCACAAATTTTCTTATCTTTTGGGGGAAAGAATAGGTATTACTTCATAAGTTTAAAATATGATAGTTCTAGAATATGTTTATTATCTAGTATCAAAAGTACTGTTTTTTCATTACTGTACTTTTTCACAGTGTTCTCTAGGGCCCTAATTGTTCCAGATGAAATGAAAGCCCTATCTTTTATTGAAATATTATTATATTTACATATTAACTGAGAAGAATTTGCGTCTTTCTAATAAGCGTCCAGTCATCCCCGAGGAACAGGCTATGCTGCCCCACACGTTTGGGTTTCCTTTTTGTGCCTCAGTAAATTTTTACTTTTTAAATATGGGTTCTGTATGTTTCGTATCTGTATTTATCCAGGAATCATAATTTTTTGTTGCGATTATTCATAGCATCTGTCTTTTCACTATACTTTCTAACTGGCAGCTTCTATTCATTGCATTATGTTTATTAATATAATAAAAAGCTGGTTTGATAAAAACAAGTTACAATAGTATTTTAGTTTTTCTCCCACTTTGGTGTTCCAAGAAGACAATTAAGTTATTTGTAAATACTAACAATTTTACCTTTACTTTTCTGATTTTATATTTTTTCTTTTTCCTGTACTCCTTATTCAAAATGACTGTAACAACTGTCGATTTCAGGTAATTCTTCACATCATTACATTTTAGTTACATATTGTTACATGTTACTTTCATAAAATTAAAAGTGGATTTTAATACAGTAATTTCTGATGAACTACTCTTGCAATTTTGAAATAAACCTTATTCAGCTATGGTGCATTATTCTTTTAACATTTTATTCAGTATTTTATTTTAAATATTTATGTTTATTATTGTTAAATTCAGTTTTCTTTAACATTCTCTCTTTGTCAAGTTATGATATTACTATTGGGTTATTCTAATGCTATAAAGTTGGAAATCTTGCATCTTTTTTTATGCTTTGGAACAACTTAATTGGCATAATCATTCCTGTTGATTCATAAGTGGATTTAGCTCACCTGTGTCATCTATCTAACTCACCTGTATCACCTGTATCATCACCAGACATAGTATTTTTTAAAGCCCTCTCTTTCACTTACTCAGAATTTGTATTCAAATTTCAAAGTTTCCTCAACAATTTTGAGAGTCAGACAGTGAAGGACTAATTCATGCCCTGGCTGGTGTGGCTCAGTGGGTTGAGCTCTGGCCTGTGAACCAAAATATCTCCAGTTCGATTCCTGGTCAGAGCACATGCCTGGGTAATGGGCCAGGTCCCCAGTTGGGTGCATGGGAGAGGCAACCATGTATCTCTCACACACTTATTTTTCCCTCTCTTTCTCTCTCCTTTCTCCTCTCTCTAAAAAAGTAAATAAATAAAATCTTTTTTAAAAGACTATTTTTTAAAAAAGCTAATTCATCCGTTTTCTTAGAAAAAATGACTAAATAAAGATGAACACTAAATCTCAAACATTGTTTTCATCATCTCTGTGGACTCCATTAGCTCTTGGCAAAGATTGTTTATGCTTACATAAAGTTTATTGATTCCAGCATTGTGCTCAAAAACTGACTCATTACTCTTCAGTGACTACAGAAATTTCCATCCTCAATTTCCTAGGGAAGAATTGAAGTAAAAATGTAGACTCAGAAATAAGACAAACCTTAATGGTATCATTAGTTTTCCTTGAGCACACCTGAATATATACAACTACACTCAAGTGCTTAAGAAATGACAAAAACATCTCATCAAGCTTTTCATTGGAGGCAGGGGACCGACCTTGTTTATGGTGGTTTCTTCTCACAGACAGAGTAATGCTGTGTAAATTCCAGTATAGCCCAGTGGTTTCTAGTCTGTTTAGTTACTGTAACAACAGTAACAGCATTTTTTTTCCTTTCTTATCCAGGATGTGTGCGCTAAGGCTTATCTAGCCCTTCGACATCACACAAATCTACTGATCATCCTGTTCTCCATGATGCTGATGACAGGAATGCCCCAGTTAACAAGCAAAGAAGATATTGAATATATTCGAGATGCTCTAACAGTGGGGAAAAATGAGGAGGATGCTAAAAAGTATTTCCTTGATCAGATTGAAGTTTGTAGAGACAAAGGATGGACTGTGCAGTTTAACTGGTTCCTACATCTTGTTCTTGGCATCAAGCAAGGAGAGAAACATTCAGCCTAATACTTTGGGCCAGAATTAAAAACAAGTCATTGTTCCAAAGCTTTAAATCAGCATTTCAATCATTGATCTTGGATTTAAATTGTAACAGGACATTATGAAAGCTGGCACTTCAAAAATATAGCTCTTTTCCTAGTTGGACTCTTTACTGGAGAAAAATATTGGCACATCTGATTGTTTAAGTCATGTTCAGTTCTAGGCCTATTTGCAGGTTTGGTTATTATTTGTCTCAGTGGCTTTGGAGAATATTGTAAGTTTAAACAGACTAATCCCTTTCTTGTTGTGCCTGATGTTTTGACTATCTTATTATTGAGTGCTTCTGGAAATTCTTTAGAATAACTGGTGACATCTGTTTTCATCTGGGTTTACTCTCAATTTTGGTTATCCTTGTGTTCCTCAAGCTCTTTACAGAAAAAGATGTAACCATTGTAATCTTTGTCTCATAGCTTAAACAATATTTTCAAACATCCCCTCTATGTCTGCAGATGTCAGTGATGTGCTGAAAGCAAGGAAAGGGAGTTAGTCTTTTCAGTGCCTTTTGCAATTAGGTTCTTTTACAGTGTACAACTGAGATAAACAAACACAAAATGGAAAATCTGAACCTTTGTGCCTTGGCCCTTCTCTTCTGGTCTGGTTCCAACATTATGAATAGGAAAAATAGAGATGAGACCATTTGTCCCCACTCTGTCCACAGAGTGAATTATTAGGCACAACTATTACAGGTTTTTCCAGCACAGAAATAGGAAGTAACTAAAGGGACTCATTATTTTTGCCTTTATATTTTCCCCCTCCCTTTCTTCCTGACTCCCTTCTTCCTCTTGCCAAAGCTCTTTACTCAGAGTTGTGAAATCTTCAAGAACCCCTTACCTTAGATTCAAAAGTTAGTTGAAAAAGAATTATGGATTAGTTTCCAAGTATATTAATTTTAAATTTTTGTCTAAGAAGCTATTTCTTTCTGTTTTAATGGAAGAAGACATTTGCCAGCTAAAAAGTACTCAAGTTAGGAAGGACACTACTCGCCCTACCCATCGCTCAGTTAAACTGAACTTTTAAACTTTGATGCATTCTCCTCATTTTAAAAAAATAATTGAAATGTGTTTTTAAAAAACTATTTTCATTTATTATATATTTTGGTATTTATTGGAAGTGTTTAAACTTTGAGAAAGATCATTAAGTTATTTATAAAATATTTTAAAATTACCTATAGTTAATACTTTACAAAGGAATAATTCTGTTAGTAGGGTCTATGTTTTTTAATATAAATATATATTAAATCTGAAGTTTTGCTAAGCAGATACCTGGTTTGGTGTAGCCCAAACCTTACTTTTGTGTGTGCAAAAGCTCAGTGGTTCTTAACCCTGGCTGCAAATAAGAATCACCAGGATACTTTTAAAAATACCCCACCTGAGCACCAGTCTCAGGTTATCATTTCTTTGGGGTGAGGCCTACACATCAGTGTTTTTCTAAGTACTCAGGGTGTCTTTAATACACAGCGTTCGAAAGCCCCGCATGGCCTTTGAAGGCATAGGTGACACTGCTTCCTCACCCACAGATCCTTTCCCCTGGCTATAAGGTAGCTAGAAAGAATTCTTTCTTGCTAACTCATCTTTTAACATCATGTTCTGTCCTCCTGTACAGAGGACCATGACCTGCAATGAAATGTATATTCCTCTGTGGTAATGAAGGATAGATATTTTATGGCATTTTTAGAGCAACAATTCCTACCATTCTTTTGAAGAAGAGCAGGAATTATGCTTTCCAATTTAGAAGAGGGTGCTTCTATTATTCTTACAAAAAATAACCAAGCTTGCAGAGGTTTTACTTTTTATTTCAATTGCTGAACTAATCACCTTAATGATAGAAGAATTACAGAGCAATGGATTTATATTTAGCTTATTGGTGCATGTGCATATATATTTGCTCCTCAAATGAACTTGATTCTTCCATATTCCAGTGAAGACATAATTTTAACTTTATAGAATTGCGAATTTAAAAAAACCACCTTCGTGTGCTTCCTTCATTCCCAGTGAATCAGTGACGCACACCTTTTACATTTTTTAAGATGACCTAGAACTAGGGTGATCTTGCTATTAAGAGGAAATGCTGGGAAACTACCCGCAACTCTATCTTCAACGCAAAAAAAAAACAAAACAGAAACCACGAGTCAGATGACTGAGGTCAAAGCAGCTTTTATGTATGCCTAGAATTGGCTACATAATTTTCAGAGCCCAGTGAAACATGTAAACACCAGGCCTGTCATTCAGAATTATTAAGAAATTTGAGCTGGCAAAGAGGAACTTTAGCCAAGCACAGAGCCCTTCTGAGCATGGGTCACTGCACAGGTCACAAGCCCATGAAGCTGGATGTGTGTGTGTGTGTAGATAATGGTTGTGGTGCTGTTTTACATTTAGACCAGGCCTGTATGAGTGCAGATAACGTTCCCAGATCAAAATGTGCTTCTGTTCAAACTGAAATACCTCATCTCTGTGGCTGTGCATCAAGACCTAAAACACCAGCCAGGAAAAGTGAAGCCAAGCAGATATCTTAGACCTCGTGCCGTGTGACTGTGCTCGTCTGGCTCTGGTGACACTCTCGTGAAAGCAGAGCAAATGGAAACATTTGGAGAGGAAATATATCAGCTCCTAAAGAAAGCTCTTGCATTTAAAAAATTAACCTTATGAAATATATCTTCTACAGAAGATGAATTATTTTTTTGAAAAGGTTAGATATAGGAATTCTGCAGCATAATTCAGAGGCTGTTAGTCCTATATAATTGTAAATTATTTTTTAAATGAGTATAAAAATAATTTAGAAATTTTCTGGAGCAAATTCTGACCTTTATTTGGTAAGCTAGGCTATATTTGACTATGAAATAAAATGTTAATTGTAATCTACAATATGAATAAGAAATAAAATAAATGTGGATTGTTAAAGGCTCTACTGTCTCATCTTCTACTCCAACCTAACAATTCTAGCAATGAAATGTGCTTCTAGTCTGGGAGGAGACCTGCAGGTTTTTACCCAGGCACTGGGGAACCCAGAGCACACACCCTGGCTGCAGTGCCCATGCAGAAAGCCAAGACCCTTCCTCTTCTGGAAAGCCCAGTTCTCCCCACTTGCATTTGTATATTAATTAGAAATTGTTAAACATGAATGTAAATAGAAGAAAGAATCTGATATCTTGTGTTCTCTAGTATATACCTTTTAGTGTCTAAAAGGCCATATACTCCTGAAACTCAAATCCTTCCTTTTAAGAAAACTTTATTGAGGGTCCACTACCTATCAAACACTAGCCAAAGTACTGCAGTCCAGGCCACAGAACAAGATAGACCTAATCCCAGTCGTTAAAAAGTGCAGTTTGCTGGTGATAGCAGACATTTTATAATGGGGTGTTGTGGGTTGAATTGTGTCCCCCACAAGATACATTGAAATTCTAACTGATGGTATCCATGAATGTAATTTTATTTGGAAATAGGTTCTAGGGATGTACAGATATGCCTTATTTTACTGTGCTTCACAGATGTGGCACTTTTTACAAATCGAAGGCAAGACCCTCCACCAGCAAAAAGATTAGACTCGCTCTATTGAGATACTCGGTGTATACAGCAGTGGTCTGGTATACATCTAGCAGAGAAAGGACCCGCCGTATCTCTGAGGTCTGCCTGTCATTAAGATGAAGTCCTAATCCAGTGCGACTGGTGTACTTAACAGAAGATGAGGGAGAAGGCCAGAAGGCCATGTGATAGAGGCAGAAATATAATGATGCGTCTACAAGTCGAGGAATGCTTGGGGCTACCAGAGGCTGGAACAGGAAAGGAAGGATCCTTTCCAGAAGCTTCCAAGGGAACAAAGTGCAGCCAACCCTTGTTTTCAGACTTCTAACCTGAAGAACTGTGAGACAACAAGTTTTTAGTGTTGTAAGCCACCTGGTTTGTGACACTTTTCTATGGCATCCTTAGGAATCTAATACAGTGTCAATAACCAAAAGTTTTGTGGGGGTTTTTTTGGGGGGGCAGATGGTGGGAGAATCACACAGCTTTTTTTAAGTAAACTTATTTGATATTTTCTGCTGTTATCAAAAGGATTTAATTGCATACATAACAAAGTGCTAATATTACTACTATATAAAAAGCAAACCCTAATAATTCAATAAGAAAAAGATAAATACCTCATCAGAAAATACTACATTTCCACAAAAAAATATATGTGGCCAATATGACAGCAGACCCCAAATCGCTTTAGATTTAAGAAACGAGAATTAAAATAACTGACATTTTTCACCATCAGATTAGCAGAGATTGGTCATGCCAGCAGTTGGTGATAATTGGGAGAAAGAACAGTTTATCATACCATTGAAAGCCAAGCAAGTTGGTCCGAAGGTTGTGGGTTATTGTTAAGCTGAAAGCCAAGCAAGTTGGTACATTAATGCACAGCATTTTGTCAATTTTATCAAAATTAAGAGGGTATCTATTCTCCAATTCAGCAAGTCCACATCCAAGAATTTATACTTCAGAGATTATTGGATTTGTGGGCAAAAAGTTAACCAGCATTCTTTGTAATAACCAAAACTTGGAAACAGCCTAAAAGTCCTTCAATAGGGACTGGTGAGTTAAGTCACAGTTGTACAATGAACGCAAGGAAGCCCTTGATGAGGTAAAGGTGCGTCGGAAGACAGACCACAGTGTGTGGACAGCCGCGCAGATCTCTGACCTACAAAGGAGTGAAACGGAGGTATGCAGGGCAGTGTCATGTTACCGTATATGCATTAAAAGTCTGGGAGGGTATACTTTGCATTTATTTTTTTCTCTTACATTTTGGGGAACTTGACTTTCTATCATTTGAATTTCTTAACAAGGGAAAAAGTGCCTTTTTATTTGGGTGGAAAATGCAATCTGCCTAATAATTGTATGCTTTAGCTTCTACCAGTCCTCACTAATAATAACTCATAAAATTTTGTTTCTCAAAGAAAAATGAACCATGAGAAAAGTCAATAATTAGCAAGTACTCACATCAAAGCCATTGATGGAACTTTACGACATAAAAGTGACACTGTCAAAGCCTCCTGCTTTTGCTGATCCTACTGGACTGTGATCTGTTATACGCTGAGGCTGGCCTGCTCTACCCCCTAAGATGACCATACTTCTGTAGAAGGAGGGCCTCTAGAGGTGCTGTCTGTTCAGTCAGTGAGCAGAGCCTTGCCTGGCCCAGTTCCTCTCAGCTCTGCAAACCTCCTCCAGCCCCTGTGGCCATCCTGAGCTCTGTCACAGTTAAGATCCCCTTTGGAGGTGCAAACTGACTCATTTCCACTTCTACTGAATGTTAGATTTTTTTCTCTAATCATACACACATTAGTATGTATTAAATCTCACTGCCTACTGCTTTGGTAAGAATTTTCCCTTCCGGGAGCTGGGCTCTGAGGCTGATCCATAATGCAGCTGTTGGTCTGACTTGGAGAAAATAACAGGGACAGGGACATACCAAGGAATGGAGAATCCATTTGTAGCATCTCAGCAGCACTTCTCTTCTCTCACAGCAGATGTACAGCCATCTGAGAAGTTTTATACTCAGATCATCAAACTCAGAATTCTTTCAGTTATGCTACAGAGTTCAAATGGGTCCCTACTTCCCACTATTTCCAGCCATGTTCAAAGTTTATGGCTGAACAGCAGCTTTGATCAGCAGATGTGTTTGGTGGCCAAAGCCATACTGGTCCCAGGCACCTCCCACCTGGCACCTTTCCCTTCCAGCATCACCAGGCACCTGTGTTACAAAACAACCGGCCCTGTGACTACTGAGAGTTTACCCTGGGAAAATTCCCTGGCCACAAAATACTGCCAGATCCCTGACCTTTTCCAGGCTCTGCTCGCTCCATCCCATGGCTCTAGAAACTAGAGAAGACAATTCCTCATTTGGGAAGCAACTAGCATCCTCTAGCTCTTTCTTTCTCACCTGCTCAGCTGGATAAAGCACGTGCCATGTCATGAGCTGCTCTGTGGGAAGGTCTACAGGTCAAGGAACCTGGGGAAGTCTCTGACCAACAGCGTGTAAGGAATTGAATTCTGCCAGCAACCACATAAGTGAGTTGGAAAATGTGTGTTTTCAAGATGAGGCTTCTGAAAGACCCAGAGCCAGACAACCCAAATAAGTCACGCCCAGATTCCTGACCCATGGACGCCGTGAGGTAGTCAGTGTTATGGTTCTAAACCACACAGTTTTGTAGTAATTACTTGTGTCGCAATAAATAATACACTTTAGAGTTGTTTGGAGGATTTAAAAAGATAAAGAAATGAATTGACATGAAAGAACTTACTACAGAGCCTGACACAGAGTAGCCGGTTAGCAAGTTTATTGACTCTAAAAACAGAGGAGTTGCAAATATCACTAGGACTTGCAAGTAGCAGCTGCAGCCACCAACCTGAGAATAACCCATGTGTATAAAGTCTGCTGGTTTCAGCCTCATCAGAGAAACTCAGACCAAAAAGTTTGACGTGTATATACAAACACAAAGACGTAATTAATGGCTGTGTGTGTTATACATACTAATGCAGAAAATCTCACTTTTAAATGTAAGCTTGTTTTTCCATGAATCATACAGCTGTGCCAGGTACCCCAGCAGGCAGTGAGGCGAAGATGATGATGATGATGACGATGATGATGATGGTAACAACGATGACAATGGAAAAGACAACCGAAAAAGAAAGGGAGCTCCACCATGTTTCATAAAGTAGCAGTCCTACTGTTTCTTGTAATTTTCTCTCTCCTACCTTATACTTTATTCAAATATGCACATTCAAAAAGCAATCATCAACCAAATGGAAACTACAAGAAACATTTAAGGGAATCCAATCCCAGGCCCACTCTACCATAACAGTTATCACAGCCCTTCACAGAAACTGGTAGTTGAAAGTACCACCAAAATCTACATGAAAATCACCATGAACAGTGTGAAAGCATTTCAAAATGAGAGCAGGTCCACTCTATTCCACAGAACTTTCCTCTGTGTCTACTGTGTGCCTCAGCCCTGCTCCGTGATCCTGGGGAACCCAAATAAGCTCCATCTAGTGGAGGGAATGGGCACCTTTACACCCGACTCAGAAAAACCCTGATGGAGCAGGACCTACTGATGTCTGTTACAGGCTTGGGAGTAGGGCCAGGGACATACAGATGACCTCTTGACTAGAGAGAGAAGACAGACTGTGATACACTATAACAA